ATCCGCTCACGCACATAAACCTGGATTTATAGTTCCCTCTCCCCGTCACCGCCGTCCGTCCTTCATTGCAATCAGGTACCTATCGTGTAGATTTCGAAAAGCCCTACATCCGTGCTCCGTGGCTGGCACAATGCGATCGTCTGTGGCAATAATTTTTCCTTTTGTGAAATGAATCTCCACTCCTAGAACGGTGTTGGCAATCTGAAGTTGATACAAACCAACCGACCAACACACCCGGCCATAAAACAGAGGGAATCCTTTTCATAGCCCACTAGCGGTAGCAACAGTCCTTGGCAATCGTTTCCACTCTCAATGATTATATGTCTTTTCATAAAGTTCTTTTCATTACTCGCAATCATGGAATGGCAACAACCAGTGCCAGTAGTCGGACGAAGGTCGACTAAAATGGCTCCATTTTCCAACTGATACCTGGCGCTGCACCGCACACATACAGCTGCACTTGAGAATGAGGCAGGTGGGGAGACCTCTAGGATCTACACTATTACCCTTGTGTTGGAATGGAAATTGAGATTCTCAGATGTTCAGTCAATTATTCCTTGCTTGGCATGCCGCATCGACGACCAACGTATGGAATTCACAGTTTGTTTCAGATGGCTCTGTCACCGTTCGATGCGATGTTGGTTGGTCTCAAATGGAAGGTTGTAGAAATTTGGAATGATTCACCAGTTTTATTGGAAAGGCACAGATATGGGCTTTTATGCAAAAGGAACGTCGAAAAGTTGATTCAGGTATTCGTTTCTGGACTAATTTAAAATTTAACTTTTTATAAATTTGGAAAGCCATTATTCGTTCTTTATTTGATGAATGTTGCATTCTACTCGGAGGAAAGTAATTTAACATTTACATTTGACTTTTCTCATAGTTCTCCATTTCGTCATACCATCCTCTCCAACAATGGAGCGTGTCGAATGCCGGTTGAAACTTTTGTAATAATATTTGAACTTTCAACATTTAAATTGTTGCAATCTCGATGTCGGAAAGCTTCCGTAGTGCAGTTAAAAGTTTGCTTTCCTGGCAATAACAATCCGCGTGTTAAAAGTTATGCTCGGGCTCGATTCACAGTTTAACCAATCAACGCCAACGTTCATCTGCATAAATGGCCGCTCGTTTCCGAAAGTGCTCCGTCAACCTGTTGTGCTTTGATATCGGATATGCCATCATCATTGTCGTTCTCATGATCCGAGCTCTATGGTTTATCGCGATGTGACAGATTCAATCCAGTCTTAACTTGACGCGCAGTGGAAGATATCTAGGAGAGAAGGGATTGATCTATCAGGAAACGCCCTGACAGAGCCGTGTTGTGGCCGAGCTTTTCAATCTATTGACATCCCCATCCTAAAATCATTCACTCAAACTCGCCGGGAAATAGCGGGTGATACTCCGCTCGAGCGCAGATTTGGAAACTGGCGGTGCGATGTGTTCACAGCCCACTCTTCATGGTCCCCGTGGACGACACATACACACACACACTCACTCATCCATAGAATGAGTGGGGTGGCTTTCCGGAATCCGATATTGTCGTTCAATGGGAATTGATTTCGGGTGTTTGCGCTTTTTTTCATTTTTCCACCACCCACTGCTGCGATAGTAGCTGGACCGGACCGATGCAGGCACGTGGGGGGTGGTGAACGAGTGTAGATGTGCGAAAATGGTTTGATATCTAATTTATACAGCTGTCCGAGTTGATTTTCGTTGTTTCGGCCATCCATTTTGCAGCAGAAATCAGCATCGATTGAGGCATGAATTTCGGTGGATCACTCAGGAAATAATCGTAGCAAATTGGATTTTGTATTTGGAAATCCAACCATTAGGAGTTCGTTGCTTTGATCAATTTCAAATGGAGTGGTAGCGTGAGGTGGGGGGTAAAAGTTTCGTGCGAGGTTCTCTTAGCTTGTGCGAGAAAAAGCTCCCTAAAAATAGCATCAAATTTGAAACGTTCCGATTGTTGATTTCCAGGGCAAGTCAGAAGGACTTCAAGAGCAAGTCGAGCGAACTTTCAGTGCTAATCATGGGTAGTTTAGTTGAAAATTTGAGAGACTTCAGGAGCCTGCCTATTCCCAGGATCCCTGACTTATCCTTATAGATTCAGTGAAGACGTCAGAGATGTTTAACTCTCAACGATCAGCTGTAAACATTTTATAGTATAAGATCATAGGCTTTATAATTCATATTCAGACGCTTTATGTTCCATGGAATTAGCTGTAAGTAATTTGCTTCAGAGGCCCAAGGTTCAACAAGCAACTTCAAATTTCATTTTGAGGAATTTCAAAGGGGCTATAAGTTGTGCTCATGGCGTTCGCCCTGTGGATCAACTATGGAAATACATTTGACTAGTGGTGAGGAACTTATGAGTTAAATCCCGAAGAGTTACCGTTCCAACTCCTGAAACTGAACGGGATGGCTTCACAGGCTTTATAGGTCATCTTCAGAGATCTTGTGTATTAATTTAATGGTCTTGTCTGTTAACTACAAAAATCCATTGATGATATTTTTGTTCAACGCTCGTTGAGAAGGCTTACGGCATAAGTCCTTAGGGCTTAAAGTTCAGTTTAGAGGTTTTATGCATTCATTTCATAGGCATAATTCGATGAACTCATAAACTAACTAAGGATGTCTTATGGGACTTATCCTGTAAGGCTTAATAAGTTCCGTCTAGAGGGCAATAAGTGTAGCTCTCAAGAAGAGATTTCGAAAATATTATGGCCAAACATCATAAGCCTTATAGTACAAATTCAGAAGGAAGCTTAATGAAGTCATCTCCAGAAGCCTAATGAGTTAATTCTGAAGATTTCATGAGTCAACTTCACAGGCCTAAAGGAGTATTTCCTGACGCACAGTAGTTTATAGGCATCAATTTTGGAAATATGATGAATTAACTCCAAAGATCATATGAATTAAATCCCGAGGCCTTTCAGGTCAACTCTGAAAACTACATGGGATAGGTCATTATAGTACGACTTAACACTGGAGGTTTATGGGTAGGCTTCAAAGATCCATTGGTTATATTTTTGTTCAACTCCGGAAGCCTTATGGAAATCTCATTCGGTCAATTCCGACGGCCTTTCTGAGACAACTTCAGAGGTCTAGAGGCTCAAGTCTAGAGATATTATGAATCATCTTCGTATGGTTTTTGGGCCAAATCAACGAAGGGTCTATGAAATTCACATGCTCTATGGGTTAACACCAGAAGCCAATTGCTTTATGATTTTCATGATTTAACTTTGTAGGTTTTGCGGACTTACTAAAAATAAGATTAATGTAAGTCAGCTTCACAGGCCTTGCAGAGATCTTTTAAGAACAGTTCAGTACACATATAAAGCATAAACTTCATATTCAATCGTCTAAATATCTAAAAATTCCCAGCATCATGATCTACGCTTTTGTTGCTTTCAATCAGATACGTCTAACCAAAACTCTCAGTTTTATTGGTTCCTTAAACGTTTCAAATTTCCTGAAAACCATTTACACCCATAATCATAAAAATCCCACCTAACCACGACCGATTGAATTCAAAACCCTCGATTAAGCTATCGGATTACATTTTCTACTATTTCAAAACCGCCTCCCATGAAAACGGGTGTGTGTGTAAAGAACCACTCGTGCTCGTAATTTGGTGATTGGTTGAAAGTGACCACAAGTGAACAAGCTCACAGGTGTCGATTCCCATTGACCGCGCACGGCCAATGATGGAGTTTGCAATTTTCCATTAATAGCTTTCGATAGTGGGTGGGCATAGAAAGTAGGGGGCAGGGGGGAGCTGATATGAAACCAAATTCCACCAACGAACAACTCCAAAAAAGAGCGACAAATTTGACCCTTTTCCCGTACTTGTTGGATGGGTGGTCATTTATGGTGAACGAACGACTACGCCGACGTAATAAGGATACTCCACTCGAGTTCGGGATCCGGCTGAAATATGAGCGGAAACTGCTTCGTTCAGATCATTTATTTAATTGATCTGGGAAATTTTCGACGGCGATGGAGCCTTAATGGGCGGTGGCTTTTGGGAGCGGTAGGAAGTTCAATTAGCCATTCAAGTGTCGACGGGAAATCAACGCTCATTTGATCGCAAAAAGAATCTGCGGTGACGTAATAGCAACAACAGCTTGGTGTGAGCTATTGAAGGCGGTTTTCGTTTTTTGTTTTTCGCTGACGATGGCTTCGGTGAAAACGCATTATCATTATGAAGGGGTTGAATCGATTGGTGGAGGGGTGTCTTTTAGTAGCACGTTTTTTTTCGATGAAAAATTTCAATATTAATCGAGTTATGTATTTGAAAAATGATGGCTTTAGAGCAGCATTTCTTCCCATTCAGCTCCTAGGAATCTAATAAATCATACCCATTTCAACATTCTTCCGCTATTCAACGATATTTTACGGGGAAATTCTAATAATCATTCCTTTCACTAGTGCCAAGATCAGCTTCACTCGATAATCTACTGAATGTGGAAATTCCCACTTTCAACAAATGGAAAAAACGATACAAAGCTGTTTTATATTTTATCGCCCTGAAGAGAAAATCCCAAGAAGACAAAAATAAGAATAAAAGAAGTATTCAGGACCAGCTCGGGGGGTTGGAAAGGTGCGCTTTTGAATTTTTGACCGATAAGGTTTCTCTTGACCTTTCTCGCCTTCGGAAATGAAACTTTCATCATCAGGTCGGCCGGCCAACATCATCGTCATCGTCACCTGTTCTTCTTCGATTATGTTGGCAAGTTCTGCTCCGATGGGATTTCCTTTCTGGAGGATGGTCGACATGGGGGGGTGGTACACTGGTTGAATGGAAGAAGATCAACATCGTTGACATGTGACTTGGGGAAAATTCGAAATGGAATCTTGTTTCGGTTGAATGGCTGCTGAGCGATAAGAGAGATGTGAAAATAATTTCTTTGTATTTTTGTCTTGTTTTTTTTTTATCTTGGAGCACGTAAAGGTATCAGATTTTCTAATTGGTTCGTATATTTCTTCTTTTCTTGCAGGACGTTCTACACACCATCTGCTCACCCAACGGACAAGTGCAACGTATCGTGATATTCAAGAAGAATGGAGTCCAAGCTATGGTTGAATATCCTTTTCTAAAAGAGAGTTGAAGATTTATAGGGTGTTTGATTTATGAGTCTATACGCATAGGGAGGGAATTTTTCATTTTTTGTGGATGTTTTGCCTTTTTTTGTGATGTTCTAGGCCAGGTATCCTGGGGTTTTATCCATGTCTATAATGTTCAATGGCCTAGTTAGGTTTCGATATACAGTGGGGGTAAAGCCTTGCATGAATTGTTAAAATTTCAAAGAAGGGATTGAACAGTAATTTCCTAGTCCCAGAGTTCTAAGCTTTACAAGTGTGGCATTTTTAATTGCTTGTTGCGGGCAGCAAAAGTGTTATATCATTTTGTACACGACATCTTTGTAGTTTCTGAGATTCTTAGTGGCAAAGCAACGGTCTTTTTTTGATTCTATCAACCTTGTCCTTTAAAAAATCGATTCCAGGCTTTGTCGTCAGGCTTGAAAAATCGTCGTTCGTAATGGTTTATTGTTATGCCCGGGAGCTCGGTGGCATAGCAGCAACCGTTTTTACTTAAAGAACCCAACATATCCTTGCTTATTCTCAAATATTTCCCAATGCCATTCGTAGTATCATACTAGAATTCTAAATAACTGCTCCGGAGGACATATTTCCGAAGAATATTAAATCATCATTTCTCATTATTTGTTTTATGAAGTTTGTGCTCTGTGGTTGGTCAGCGTCACCAGCCGATCTAACATACTGTACAAATGGTGTCTTTGCCGGCGCCGGTGGTGTAGTGGTAAGCGTGACTGCTTTCTAACACCCCAATGGGTCTGGGTTCAATCCCGGTGGGATTTTTCTGAGGCATAAAAATCTCTGGTCACGTCTTCCTTCGGAAGGGAAGTAAAGCCGTTGGTCTCGGCCCATGTGTGTTGAATGGGTGCGATATCCTACGCAGGTGTGGAAGCTGCCTAATGGATGGCAATCGATGTCCGTCGGTGATTGGCACTAGATTGCGGAACAGAGACCGACGTTAAATAAAGGAAAAGAAAATAGTGTCTTTGAAATTTTTCAATAAAATGTAGCTCGGGAATGGCATTTCTGATCGAAATGACGTCTTATGCAAAATTGTAGAGAAAAATAAGGTCTGTTTGGAAAAAATAAAGAAAAAATTGTTAATTTTTATTTAAAGTCAAAATTTACAAAACAAGTAAAATCCCAAATATCGAAAAAGGCCTTGCACGAGTATTGAAATTTATCTTCAAATAAAAGCTTATAAAAATGCAAACTTTTGAAATATTTAAACATGAAAATTGACAAAAATCGTAGAACAAGAATTTCTGATCAAATTTTTTGCACAAAAACTGATTTTAAATGTCTCAAACATTGTTTGCCGAGTATAACTTACGTGAAGAAAACAGTTTTTACAAAAAGTTCATAAATTGTACTAAAAGTTATTGTTTTATGATTTCCGTCAATTTTTAAGTGTCTATAATTTTTAACAAACCAATTGCAATTGTCATTAACTTTGAAAAAAAAAATCAAAAATCAAATTTTATTTGAATTTTTAGTTTACTTAACACTTTTTTGTATACATATTTAAAAAAACATTTTTTCCCTACAACTTTGTCTCGAATATCATTTCGAACAGAAGTTCCGTTTCCGTACAACAATTTTTAGAAAAATTTAATTTTTAAACTTTTTCTAATAATTGCTTACCAAATTGGTTGTGCCATTTTGAAAATTTTACAAGATCCAAAATAGATGAATTCTAGCAGAAATGTGAATCATTGCCCATACAAACAATTATGCAAAATTTTATGCAAATCTGAGAAGCTCGAGTTTTTCGGTCATTTAGCGTGCAACTGTTCAGAATTTTAGTTTATTTACGCGGTGATGATGTTGGTTCACTCGCAACTATTTTTGAAAAAATTAAGTGTTTTCGAACGAAAGTGTACCAAAACTGCTTCTGAACATGTTTCGCAGTTAGGTGTGGTGAATTTCGTGCATTCCCGGTTGATTGTGGAATCTTAATGAAGGCCTAAGTACTCTTTCGTAGTTTTTAGTTTTAGTATTTCAAAGATTGTCGGTTGCAGTGGCTTGCTTACTGAGCAGAAAAGCGCGGTCCTAGGTCCTTTCATATTAAAAATGTATGGTAAGATCGCTTGTTTATCGTGTATTTTGTAAAACTTTTCGTTGTCGTCGGTGCCGGGTTTGAATAGTTATAAAAACTTGAGTAACGCTATAATGTGATATGAGGGGCTCGGTGGCCGTAGAGCAACCGGTTTTGCTTACTGAGCAGAACATCATGAGTCTAATCTCAATCGTCAATCGTTTTATTTGTTAACATGACTACATGGTAATAACAGCAACTCGATGACTAAAAAGGAGCTCGTCTGCCTAGTGGCAAACGTTTTTGCTTACTGAGCAGAAGACCGTGGGTTCAATCTCAATCTCCTTTGCGTTATATGATTGTTAGGACATTAATTCAGCTTATCGTTTACCAAAACGAACCCTGCTGCAAACCCAAGCCTATTACCCAATATCCTAGTGATTCCTCGTGGAAGTGCAGAGGTGTTCTCGGCTTCCATCAAAGCGAGTTTTACGTCAACACATTCCTACCCCTTTCTTTCTTGACCTGTGTTCGGGCGCGGCTGGCGCTGGTATTGCCTAGTTTGAGATCACCAGTGTTTACACATTGAGGATGATTGCTAGTCCCAAGCATCGTCTATTGGTTCTCTGTGTAATTACAGCTGGTCTGGCAATAACAGAGTAGCAACCGTGGGCGGTCAATCATGCTCATGCTCATGCATGCTCATGCTCATGCTCATGCTCATTTAGCGTGCAACTGTTCATTGAAATTTTAGAAAAAAATGTAGCTTGGAAACGGCATGTCTGATCGAAATGACTCTGAGACAAATAGAGGAAATGGATGTAATGTCGGCCTAAATGCCCCTAATTTGGGCCCATACATAAATTCAGCAATCTACTAAATTTTCAATAGTGACCAAAAATATCCATTAGTACCGTCCAATTGACGCGTTCATCTAGATAAAATTGATAAATAGTAGCTTTTTAGTGATGGGCCCAATCTTAGATCCATAGGCCAACATTAGAGCCATTTCCCCTATGTAGAGAAAAACAATGTCTTTCTGTGAAAAATAAATCTACAATTTTTTTTTAATTATTTGAAGTAGGGTAAACTACCCCATATCCGGCATATTAAGCACAACCCACACTTAGTCTTTCTCAATCTAGCGCAGTTTAGCACCAAACGGAATGTTATTTTTACTGATGGCTTCCAAATTTATTTACGTTTCCGTATGTACCGTAAGATTTGATAAAAAAAACCAATCGTTGAGATATTGTCAAAAGTCTAACACTGCTTTTTAACGCCAAACTCGGCCTAACGCATTGAAACGCCAATGAATTCACTTCGGCCTATCGGATGAAGATAAAACATGATTCGGTCGGAGCGCTTCTTTTGTTTTTGAGAATAATGGGTGCAAACCTTCATATCACGCGTTCTCATTGACTTCGTTTGGTAGCTTATTAACTAAAGTATCGTACCCAACGCATAATTGACTTCTTAACTCAGAAATCATTGATTTATTTGAAGTTTTCAGCTGGATAGGCCCAAAATGGGCGATTAGCCCGAAGTAGTTATCTACCCTATACACTCAAAACTAAATATTTTAAAATCCCAAGTATCTTAAAATTTCCGTGCCCAATTGATGACTTTTAAATAAAAATTAAGAACAATGCAATCTTTTGGAATGCTGAATCCATGGACACTTGAAAGCTGGCAAAGAAACGTAGAACAAGAACCTTTGAATCCTGATGAATGTGGGCGTCTTAGTGGAATACCTGTATAATGAGAGAGAGAGAGAGAAGGATTAGTAATTTCCATTTAATTCCACTACCTTATTTGCTTATCCTTAAAAGATACGCGTATTTCGTCTACAATGTGCAGACTTCTTCAGTGTCTTGTACTTGTCGAGTATTAGTACAAGACACTGAAGAAGTCTGCACATTGTAGACTGAATACGCGTATCTGACAAGGATAAGCAAATAAGGTAGTGGAATTAAATGGAAATTACTAATCCTTCTCTCTCTCATTACAAGAACCATTGGTTAAATTGTTGAACATTTAGCTAGTCCGCTTTTTAGTTTATTTAATTTACAGAAAATGATTCAAAATGTCTCAACAGTTAGTTATTTTATGTATACTTAAAAAAAAAAAAAAAAAAAAAAAAAAAAAAAAAAAAAAAAAAAAAAATCATAATTTAGAATATATTTCATTTCTCCATTACATATATTTACTATATATATAAATAAATACTGGATTGGGAGGGAGCATCAGGGTATCATTTGACCTGGAACTGGACGATTGGAGTGGTATGACAACCGGAGTCTAGGAGGGAATAAACACTATCATTTTCTTTATCCTACCGATTCGATTGTGATGGTGTGAATTCTACTCCAACAGTTTCATGGAGATTGACGCGCCCTTCTTAACAAACCATCCTGTAGGAAGCTTAATAAGTATTGCGAATTGCGTTATTCGATTTGTTGGATCGTATCGTTGGAAGGAGATTCTTAAATTCCCGTGGATTTCGCGTAAGTGCCTCTGCTTACGGGTCCACCCCACCGTTTTTGGCCCTTCATACAGCGATATTGTGAATTCAGATCGGTAGCTCAAATTGATCTTGCTATTAAGTGGAGCTGCATACAAGACAAGATCTTCGAAGGGATGGTGGCTACCTTACATACATACTTAAAAAAATCATAATTTAGAAACCCAAGTGTCTTGAAATGTTTGAAATTTGTTTTTTCGTATTCATCGTAGAATAAGAACTTTTGGTAAAATTTTTGAACATTTTATTATGACGCTTTTTAGTATATTTTTATAACAGAAAATGATTCAAATTGTCTCGAAAATTGTGAGTTTAAATTCATGAGAAAAGGTATTAACAAAAAGTTCTAAATTTGACCAAAAATTCTCGTTATGTCAATGTTTGAGGCTCCATAAATTTGAACAGTTTTAAAATTTGCGTTTCT